GTACTCCTGGTTTGGACTACAACTACTTTCGCCCTTCACCTTCCTTTTGACCTCAGCTATCGCCCATAAAGTGTCCTGACTGCATCTTACGATTTTCACGCTGTTGTGGAAAAGTTGCCTCGAATAAACACATTTCAGGATCCACGTCTGAAATACTCACGACTGTCCTTGTTGTGGTTACCAGAACACAGCCATGGAAACGCACACGGTGATGAGAAATACCTGCCACGCCATCATTACAGGTCGAGTGTCAGCAGAGGGTTTGTGACTAAAGTGGAGGCTGCTCTGTTTCTCCAGGGTGGAGCAGGCAGATCTGACGCTGGTGGTCGTGGACTCTGCTCATCTCCCCTCTGAGGTAGACCGAGCCGCGGCGTTCCTGCGGGAGCACCTGAGGAGTGTGCTGCCTGACACAGGTACCGTGCCATGCGTTTGTCTACTGATGCACCGACTGCATTTTAAAGACGTTTGACTTTCACAGAAAGCCTTGGTGCCTGTAGCTGTCTGCAGTTAGTTAGTTTTAAACACGTGCATGAGGTAACCTCAGGCAGAGACAAATGAGGATCAGTCAAGTTAACTTACCACATCGTGTCCTGCAGACAGGTGTCTCCTGGTGTTGAATAAGGCCGATCTGCTGCCTGAGAAGCAGAGACAAAAGCTGGACACGGAGCTGAGGGGTGTCTCTGGTCTCCCTGCTGTCCGTCTGATCTCCTGCCAGACTAACGAGGGACTGAAGGCCTTCCTCACAGTGCTGCACAGCAGTGTCAAGACTCTGTGAGTTTGAGTTTTGTTTTGTTGCCCCAGTGCGAAGGCCAAGTCTCATTTGAATGTCCTCTTGCAGGATGTGTGAGATGGCTGTACAAACTGAACTGATGGCAGGGATCAATCTTAACTGTTTATTTGTTAGGGCAGTCTTCCCAGTGCATCTTTATCTTTGTAGTTCTCCTCCAGAGGCTCTTCACATTCGCTGATTAACTTCCTCTGTAGGTGTGGCGACCCTCTGTTCGGTGCCCCCACCCTGACACAGGCTCGCCACAGGGCCCACCTGCAGCGGTGCGCGGCGGCTCTGGCTCAGTATCAGCGGTACCGTGACACTGACCTCGCTCTGGCAGCCGAAGGTGTCCGTTTAGCTGTCACCAGCCTGGGCCGGATCACTGGACGGGTCGGCGCAGAGGAGATCCTGGACATCATCTTCAAAGACTTCTGCATTGGAAAATAAAAGAGTGAAAAACTGACAGATATGCGATCGCCGGCTGCTCTGAGAGGAAAATCGCATTCCTGCAGTCTCACGGTGTCAGAAAACAGGACTGAAAGGACACCGCTGGGCGCCGAGCCAGGCGTCGACACACAGCTGAAAGAAAAAACTCTGTGTTCTTGGCCGCTGAACGCGTGCGCTCCCAGGACGCTAAAATGTTTTCTGTTGATGCTTTTTATCAGCCGAAATAGTTTGAGCATGATGACAGGTGCCTCAAAGGCCCAATATACCGAACAAGTGTTTGGCAAGCCTTGAGTCGTCATTTGAAAATAGATGTCGAAATCCTTTGAAGATCGGCCTCCTGGGCTGCAACACAACAGCCCAGATCTTTCAAATATAACCTGCAAGGTCATGGACTGAAGGTTTGGCTGTTTACTTGTACCGCAGGAACATGACTTATTTTTTTTACTTTGCGCCTTTATTACATTTATTTATTTTCCAAAGAAGAACTAATACTAATCAGAATGATTGTGTCGCTTTGTTACATGTTGCTGTGTTACGTTACTTTGGACCCTTAAATAAATGAGATCGTGTGTATTTTTGTAACAAATAAAAATTCTCTTTAAAGATACACAGAAGCTACGTTCTTGTTTTTTTGCTGAAGATAAAACAGTGAACTAAAAATACTCGGTGCCCTCTTTGAGTCACTAATAATAAAAATAATAATATAAACC